TCTCTTATTGATGGTGGTATTCCTCTATTCCTGAGCATTGTTTGTTGTCGTTTTGTCATTATGCCTTGTTGTGGTAGGATTTAAGGTAGGTTTCGGAGTATATTCTGAAAAAAAATACCTTTGATGCCGGTTGTTTTCTCTCTTCTTTTTTATCATTCTTTTTTCCAATTATTTATGTGTCAATTATATGTAAAAATTCCTTTTTTTCGAAAATATTAATGTATATTAATAAAAAAATTATAGTTCGTCAAATTCTTGAGGACCATTTTAAAATATAGTTGAAATAGAGAACGAAAAATAAAAAAAATTTTTAAATAGTAAATAAATTCTCTTTTTTATATTTTATTTTAAACAAAATTTGAAATAGTAGAAAAACAAAAATTGACCTATACTATAAGCTAAATAACATACATATCTCTTCGTTCACATGAACTAGGCCTCCTGGGGACACCACGTAAAAAAAACGAGCCACGCATTTTCCTTTAAAGATGGTCTGGAAATTAGTGCGCAATTAGTAACATTAAAATTGTCACTTTTATTTAATTAACGATATAGGTCGATCTAGAAACCATAAAGCATACTAGTTTTAAAAAATTTTTTACGAATTATTGGTAAATATTTTATATACATATGTACATATGTATTCTTATGATTGTATTACTTGCAAAGATTTAATATACATATTATGTAAATGTGATAAAATTGTAAATCCATACATAATAACAACTAATTAACGAAAACAATTATAATTCTTTCTTCAAATGCCATCATTATGATAAATTGTATCAATGCTGCAAATAAAATTCTAATATCTCTTGCCCCGAAATTGCATACAAAAATATGTCCATATGTTCATATTTAAACACTAAATATGTAGGCATGAATAAACATAAAATAGAGAATTATTCTTTTAACTATTTACATTATAAATCAAGGAAGCAACAACAATACCTAAAATCCAATATTAATAGGAATAACATATTTAAAAAGCAAAAAACAAAAAAAATAATAGGGGTATTCAGGCAACTGATTAGTTGCTTAGTTGATTCAAAAACTTCATATAAAAAAAATTTAGCATTTTGATGTTAATCAGTTGCTTGAACGACCCAAAATGCGTAATCCGATTAATTTGTAGTATGTAAATGTCTTGGCAGCACTCGTATCAACAGCAAAAGTGAAACATATGTTTAAAGTGATTTTAATATCATTTAAATATATCATATAACTAAAATTGCAAACGTGTCATATATCAAGAAGTAGAGTATTCAATTTTATACTTTTTAATTATATTTTAACCCTTTAAAAATTTTAATTTTACTGAATTTTATTTATTAATTTATGTTATTATTTTTGCATTTTCTTTTTAAGACACCCTATGCTCATAACGCCGTCACTTGGTACTGGCAGCACTATTAATCAAATTTTCACTAATCTGAGAATCTTCGAAATAGTAGATTCTCTGCTTAGTTTCTTTTGTGAATGCAAATTTTTGTTGTAATCATCTACTAAGCAACTAATCAGTTGCATGAATACCCCTAATAACTTAAAAGTTTCTTGAACCTATGAAGCAGAAAATATTGCAAAATCTTCTTTGCTATGAAGCAAAAACGACTGAAACTACGTCGGTAGAGATTTAAGTGATTTGTGGACCTAATAATAGGTCCATAGAACAAACACTTCTATGGCATTGGGACTCTATAATATTTTTACTCAATGCTTACTGAGTCGTTACTTACGCTATTATTTCCCACTGCCTTTCGCTGTTCAGAAGCTTCAAGTGTTATTGATTAATGTTAAATATACATATATTACCAGATTATTAGAGAAAATTATGTACGAAAATGTCGGCAGCGTTGAGCTCTAAGAGAAGCACAGCAAATAGCATCTAAGAGCACATACACGTGACTGAAACACTCAAAACTACTTGCTCGTTGAGTAAAAATAGTCCACCTTGTGAAGTTTTCTGACTCAAAGCTCCAAACCAGAGCCAATTGTTTTAAGCTCATTTACTGTCGCAGTGGTTGATTTTGTTCTTATTCTTGGCGTTGACCAGCACTGCTTCAACTCGTAATTCAGCATTTGGACTCTTTTGAGTGGAACTGTTGCTGTTACCGCAACTGTTGGTGCTGTTGTTGTTAAATACAATTGCAATTATTTTTGGCTTGTTGGTATTTGTGTTTAAGGTGTATATTGCGTAATTTCTTACAGTGTATGTAATCGGCAATGCGATAATTGACTCGTAAGTGTGGAAACAAATACATAATTAAATACATGTATGAAATTAAATTAATTGCGAAATCAGTTTCAAGCAGAATTATTTATATGTTTGAAAAAAAAAATAGATTTTAAAATTATTGGAACCTATTAATATAATTAATAATTTTATGGCATTTAACAATATAAACAACATTAATATGGAAACTGAACTTTACAAATCAGAATTATCAGATTGATGTGTTGAAAAAACTCCCTCCTTTCTGTATAAACGTATGAAGATTTTGCACACATAAATTTGTGTCACGTCTGATTTAAATTTGAAATTTTAAGTTTTTCCCAACACTTGGTCCATCCTGTGGAAATGTTATAACTGTTCTATTATTCCACTATTAACTGTTATATAATTACTGGGCCTATTTACATTAACATGAACGTGAGATGAACTTGACGCCAACATGAACTGGCAATTCAGTTTACATTATCATAAACTGTCATGAAGCATAAAATTTGTTTTTTGTGTAAACGTATAAAATGCTTGTGTGTAGTACTGCATAGCGCAAAAATTCAAAGTATTCACAAACACCAAAACATGCCATTGTATATGTATACGTGTCAAGCTAAAAAAGCGTCAAATTTCATTGCTTTAAATTCGTGAACTAACATCACACTCTCTTCCCTCTGATCTATCGGAAACCGGTTTTCGAGTTCATGTCTCATGTTACGTTCTTGATAGTGTAAATTGGGCTACTAATAGTTCATACTAATATAAATATTATCGGGACCTGCATTGTAAACATATACGAATGAGACCACGACTGGTCTCATTCTAGAAGGACTGAGATATTAGATATTAGTAGACGCATTCATAAACTAAACGGAAACAAATATATTAATAGAGATAGCGTGAATACTGATATTTAGTAATATAAATAGCAATTAGTATTTAAAGTGCATAAGAATTATAAATATAGATATATGTATGTAGTTATTGATATATAAAACTTAATTAATGAAAATATTATAGTTCTTAATGAAAAAAGTATATATATAGTATTGCATAATAGAATAGGCATATACTTTAATAATAATCCATTGTTGATGGTTTGTCATTGCTGTTAATATCATATAATTTTCTTATTTGCTACTAAATTTATAAAATTCAGTTAGTATCGAAACATAGTTTTTTCTACCAAAAACTAAATAACTTAAGAGTAAAGACTAAAAGAATAAAACCTAAAAAAACTAAAGAACATTATCATATCGACTTATCATAAGTTTAATAATTTACCTACAAATTGTCATTTTCTATTAGGTACACGCTTAGTCACATGTTATTTTTATTGTCTTTGATAAAAACAGATTTTCAGTTGGACTTTACTTTACCAATGTTTCTAATCTAAGCTGTTTTATTAAAAAACAACTGGTAATCATGGATGAATTAATGTGACAAAATTTGATTCGTTAAGTTGTTCCATATATTACCTTGAACAATTCATATTTGGTTTTAAGATAGATATTTAGAAATCATCTTGAAAATCCTTTCATGTAAACATTTGTATTTGACATTAGAACTAACTAATTCACAATCATACAAAAGACTGCTCAAAAACTTTTTTGATATATAACGATTTTTTCCCATTGAATTAAATTAAAAGCCATAAAATTTATTTTTTATTATGTTGAATGTAATGATATGATAAGAAACTTCTTATTCAGAACTTCTGCTTATTTTTAAAAAGAATATTTACAAATACGTATTTCTAAAACTAATGCGTGGTGATATGACAAGATCTGTCCAGAAAAGGTATAGAATTCGTCAAGGCTACAGTATAGAGTTTATGCTCATCACTTTTTTGATAATACTATTGAACAGGTAAAGCAAATAGACGCAGCATAGTTTATGTAACAGGAGATTTAAAAATGGTCACATAAAGGTCTTGTATTATACTCTTGTATTCTGAAGACAATAAAAATATTTAAAAAAATTTATAGAAAAACGTAAAGCAATTGATGTATGAAACTTCCTCAGCTAACCATTTCTACTCATAATAATAGCTTTAATGTTATTCCTAATCGCAATAAAAAAAACCATTAATACAAATAAATATAGATGAGTTACCATTTAGTAGGAAGACCAACTTCAGAACTATAGAAACTAATCGGATAAGGACAAAAAATCTTTTAAATTGCATAAACTTAGCAAAATGCGTTAATTAATTGCCATTGTCATCACCCAAACAACTCACTCGAGGTACTATAAATATACTTAAAACGTTCTTGTAACAACAACAAAAACACTTTCATCATAGCAAAAACTGTAATAATTATTATCAGACTTGTATGATCTGGAGTAATTAATACCAACATATGCGTTAGAAATATAAGTACAAATGGTTTTCCATAAGACGAATATAAAGATGTGACTAATTGTGTATATTATATATCTGACATAAGTCGCAAATAATTGCAATGCTTTCTCCATATATTATAAGAATATCAGCGAGAAATATATATTTTGGATCTGTTGGTATTTATTTGCTATTAATAATCGAAGACAAAATGCCGCTTACTACACTAAATTGAGTTCCGATGTGTGTCAGAATGACAAGTGAAACAAATAGCAATTAAAGGGTTAAAGTGAAGTAAAAAGTATTGTCGGAAATAAAAAATATGACAAATCAAACTCTGCTACATTCTAAAGCAATAGTTTATTAACCAAGTAATCGAAGAAATCTAACATTTGATTTTGACAAAAAATTTTCGATATAGGTAGATATAGTAAAAGAAAATTTCATTTTATTTGTTGTTTCATAAAAAAAGTTTCAACATTCTTGGCTCATAAAAATATCCAAATTCTGGGTGAGTGTAAAGCCAGTTTTAGACTGCACTTATGATTGGATATTCAAGGCTTTTTATATATTATCTTTTGTTTTTTTTAAGTACGGTACTCTCACGATAGGCTCCAATTAGACACTACTCATATACCATGTCGAAACCCTTTTCCAAGATGCTGCCCACTGAGAGCACATCTGAGAACTCGCTCGATAACAGAAGTGATCCATCAACACTTGAAGTCGATGTTAAGGAGGTGGCCTCACTAGGTATGTGTCTTAAGAGATGTCCGTCACAGAAAGATTTGCGTTTGGCGGGAAGAAGTGACGATTTAGAAGCAGTTGATGATGATGGCAATGATATCCAAGAAACTGTTGTCGCCTTGCCTAACGCAAGTTCTCTCGACACTGAAGGATGCGAAAATAATAAGCGGAGTGCTGTACCACAATCTATACAAGTTGATATGGGGGATTCTACTACTGATTCAGGGGATGAGTCTGCAGATGAAGAATCTGAAAACTTTGTCAAATAGCGATTCCATTAAAGGAAACAAATGTAATAACTTCGTCGTCAATTCCTCAATCACAGCAGAATAATTAAAAAAATTTGCTTATTTTTTGACTAAAAAATAAATGCTAATCACATCAGCCAGGAAGAAATCAATTTTGTGTTTTAATTAATTATAAAAAATAATTATGGACAATGTCTTAAAAAGCTAAGTAAAGCTAAACCAAAGAATCTATAGTACAAAGAAGTGACAAGCTCATACAAACGAAATACCCACTTTATTTTGCTGGTGGATTTATAATAAATCCACCCAACCTCGATCGAGTCACAACTGGTATGATGTTCAGTTTAAACTCATTGCAACCCCCAATTGTTTTTATACGCCTGTTTCTTTTGCCTTCTTGTTTCTATTTGTCTATTTTATTAATACACATTGATTAGTAAGGAAATGAATGGTAAAGAAATCCCTGAAACAATGTTTGCATGGACTTTGTTGCTTTATCTTCTTGTACTGGAAAGGCCCATATCATAGAAGTAAAGTGTAATATAATATATTATTTTTTTATTGCAAATAATGATGTACTACAAAAACTATTATGTAGGTATGTATGTCTGCAGTCCATAAATATGTATGTTTTTATTGCACATTTGTGCATATATTTTACCTCAAATGGAACTACTTCTTAATAGTTTGAATTTTTGGTAACTTTCTGTAATTATTTTAAAAAATATTTGCAAGATTCATATAAAAGTGTTTGAAAAGTATTTTAGAGAAACTAAAAATATTAGAAATGTAAGAAAAATTTTAATGCAAAAATGTGTAGAAGTCACTAAAACCACTAATAATGCCTCCTGGTTTGAGGAAACGCATGAATGCTATGTACACCGGTTTTTAATGTTAAAATTGATGATTACGATATTGCTTCGGAAATATTGCGCATGGACAACATTTAAGAATAAAGCTTCATAGAATGAAAAAAATCAGATTTGAGACATAAATAAATTTGTAATGTGTTTTTACACTACAATTCATACCAATAGCAAACAGGTAATTTTGTTTTATATACTATTAAATTCAAAAAATTAAAATGTAAAAAATGTACACAATTTTGATTTCGTCACTGAAATGCTGTTTGATCGCTTGAACATTTTACAGCGAACAAACATACAAACATGCGTATAATGTAATACAGAGGGTTGTATGTATGATTGAATACGTATGCAGTCGGGCTTTTGTCAGCCTTACTTGACTCACATATAGGTTTGAACTGAACATCATACCAGTTGTGACTCGATCGAACATTGTTGCATGAGGTTGGATGGATTTGTTATAAATCCACCAGCAAAATAAAGTGGGTATTTCGTTTGTATGTATAAATCCACCCAACCTCATGCAACAATGTTTGATCGAGTCACAACTGGTATGATGTTCAGTTCAAACCTATATGTGAGTCAAGTAAGGCTGACAAAAGCCCGACTGCATACGTATTCAATCATACATGCAACCCTCTGTATTACATTATACACATGTTTGTATGTTTGTTCGCTGTAAAATGTTCAAGCGATCAAACAGCATTTCAGTGACGAAATCAAAATTGTGTACATTTTTTACATTTTAATTTTTTGAATTTAATAGTATATAAAACAAAATTACCTGTTTGCTATTGGTATGAATTGTAGTGTAAAAACACATTACAAATTTATTTATGTCTCAAATCTGATTTTTTCCATTCTATGAAGCTTTATTTTAAATGTTGTCCATGCTCAATGTTTCGGAAGCAATATCGTAATCACCAATTTTAACATTTCAATCCGGTGTAAATAGCATTCATGCGTTTCCTCAAACCAGGAAGCATTATTAGTGGTTTTAATGACTTCTATACATTTTTTCAATATAATTTTTCTTACTTTTCTAATACTTTTCAAACACTTTTATATGAATCTTAAAAATATTTTTTAAAATCACAAAAAGTCACCAAAAATTCAAACTATTAAGAAGTAGTTCCTTTTGAGGTAAAATATATGCACAAATGTGCAATAAAAACAAACCTATTTATGTACTGCAGACTTAATGTCTCCATTTGTACATACATAATAGTTTTTGTAGTGCATCATTTTTTGCAATAAAAAAAAAATATGTTCTATTACTCTTTACTCCTATGATATAGGCCTTTCCAGTACAAGAAAATAAAACAACAAAGTATATGGTAAAATTGTTTCAGGGATTTCTTTACCATTCACTTCGCTACTAATCAATGTATATTAATAAAATAGACAAATAAAAACAAGAAAGGCAAAAGAAACAAACGTATAAAAACAATTGTGGGTTGCAATGAGTTTGAACTGGACATCATACCAGTTGTGACTCGATCGAACATTGCTGCATGAGGTTGGGTGGATTTATTATAAATCCACCAGCAAAATAAAGTGGGTATTTCGTTTGTAGGAGCGTGGCACTTCTTTGTACTATAGATTCTTTGGTTCTACCATCGAACGTTGTTAGATTTGTTAATAGGTTTCAACTCTGAAACAGGAAAATGTTAAATAGAATTTTATTTACACTCTTTAAGGATGGGAACTTGAAAGAAATATAACGCCACAAATAATATTATGAACGGTGCTTCTTTTTTATCTTAACGTAGTTGATCTATTACGTGGTTTGTATTGGTCACCAAAATATTGCAATACATAAAAAGGCTCTCAGCTAAATTCTAGTGTAAGTACTAGCAAACATCTATAGACAAGAGTATACAATTCAGTACGTTTGTATAAGGTCCTTAATTCCTAAGCATTAGAAGTTTCAAGTGAGTATGTTGATATCGGGTCCTCTCTAACTTAGTAATAAGGTCATTAGGACTATCTCGAAGCAGATATTTTCCTTATTTGACCTGGAAGCGTTATTTTATTTTTCAACTATTCTCTATTATTGGTAACATCCGAACCGCCTCTTAGGGGACGCTTACGATTTGATACTTTCGTACTTATTGTCTTTGTAATACGGGCAGTGGACAGGAGGTCAATCATTGTTTTAAGTTAGCTTTACTAAGTTGAAATATCATGGAACTTCGAATCTGTGCATCGATTTTCACTCACTTAAGGATGATTATGAGAAAATACTGGAGGATATAAATACAGAAAAACGATACTTTATAAATTATAAACTGTTTTTGAAAAAATGTCTATAATAACATATTTCTATACAAGAACGTATAAAACAAACTTTTAAAAAATATTAAAATACCCTAATTTCCGAACCCATTGAAAAGATATTGAGCAACAAATTAGTGATTATTTAATTTACAAAGAATTGATAACTGACTAAGTTATATAAATAAAAAATTTTTGGAATATTAAAGGTTCTTTGACTGAGTTTCCTCTTTAGGTGGACTCAAAGTTCAAGTGCTGTAAAATAAAAGACCGTCTGTGTATACATCTATATATCTTATGGTTTAACTCCTGATTATGTTTTAGGGGTTGGTATGTTGTCATAGTGGAGCAATTTAGGAAGTTGATGGGAACGATTAACTACACTTTCTGTGCGCGTAACGAGTGTCTGAATAACCTCACTCGTCTGGTAGGAGACATTTTATATATATTCTACGGAAACATATGTAAACACATTCCAAGCGATTTATGTGTATGATATATAGAGAACGTTTGGAATTATATTAGCAGTTTATGACCATAGTGATCATATACGTAGTCATACTCGTATTTTACAATAAATTAGACAAAACCATGTAGGTTATGTATGTTGTATTAGAGAAACTGCATACATAATTAGAATCTTTTACGTACCTTAAATTTAAGATAATCAAAGCGAGTTTGATAAATTGTTGCTGAGCAGAAATTACCACACAAAAGCAAAGTACGAGTTAAAGTTTGCAGCCTTAATTCAATTGGATTTAAGACCTTGCTTATAAAAGGCTCCATAGTGGATAAGTGCAATTGTACTGATAATCTACTTTCATATACATGTACCTACTAAGTATCTATGTGCTTTGCAGTATCTTTGATGCCTATTTTATTGTATTAAAAGTGTTTTTACGAACATTGTACACGGTTTTTATATTTTGACTTGGTTTTTTTTGAAATATCCTTAAATTTCTGTGTTGTGAACCATTTTTGTTTTAATTTTGATATAATGACAATAACATCAAGAAACCAATACAAACCCAGTCTATTCTGAAGAATGCGAACGTTAAAAGAGAAGTGATGTTTCACAATCTATAGAAGTTGACACCTCATATTCTACTGCTGATTCAACACATGAGTCTGCAGATGAACAATCCTAGATCGCAGAAAACAATTCGAAGAAATTTTTTCTGATTAAAAATATTAATGCTAATCATATTAGTCAGATTTTATTGAAATGTACTTAAACTTCAGTATTTAAAAAATTTTTTTTTTGATTTTTATACATAGTAAAAATTCTGACCTACCTTTCTTATTGGTGGCGGAAGAATACACTGAGTGAAAACACTTTCGGAAAGTAGCCCAAGATTTTTCGGAGCATTAAAACGTTTAAAATGTGCAATCAAGAATTTGTTTTTAAATTTCTTCAAAACACTAAATAAATGATTTAAATTAACGTTTTGTTTATAAACTTAATAGCAATGTATCTTTCACGTTCTGCAAAACATTTAAACAATTCACATAAAGCATTTGAAGCATTTTTCATTAAAAAACATATATTTAATAATATTTAAATGGAAAAATTTTTTTTAGTCAATTAATTAATTTTTCAATCTTAATGCATGGCGAATCATAAAAATAATTATTAATTAATAATTATATTTTTTTTGTGTTGTTTAATTAGTTTAAAAAGCCGAAAATGAATTTTGTATCTTTCCCAACGACGCCTTCGATAGCACTTAGAACAGCTAAAAACGCATATGGGTTTAGGTCTTAGCATTCGTGAAACGAAAAAATACTTGATGTGTTATTGTTGACTTACAAATCGTGTATGGCCAGCCAACAACTAAAAAACGCAACGAATCAAGACACGAAACCAAAGTGTCTGGATGGAACAATGACTACAGCAAGCAAAACTATGTCGAACTCAAAAGTAAGACAGACATCGTGATCATCCTTCTTCATTATCATAAATTATAAACTTGAATGTCATTACCCAGCGGCATCATTAGGCCAGCGCT